AATAAATAAAAAGATACTCCAAATACGGGCAAGACAAATTTCTGTAAATATGGAATAAGCTAATACTATTCCTATAAAAGGTAATTTGTAAGGAAAGTTATGTTAAGACATGAAATTGAAATGGCTTGATGATTTTATTTTATATATATATATATTGATAGTTTAACAACATCCTTAATTGTCATTTTTCCTGCTATTAATCAAATAAAATTGAAAAGCAAAATGACATGAAATAATAAAAACCAAGGTCATCCTTTTTTTAATTATTCTTTTTTTTTTGGACAACCACACTCTTAAACGACGCCGTGTAACTTGCGGCCATCTCACTGTAGCCAAATTTCAGATCGCCCACCCCCTTCCGCTCCGTCGTCTCGTCGTCAGTTCCTCTTCGCGGCGCCTCTACTCCCTTGCGGTCGACCGTCTCTTCGTTCAGATTTTGCCGTGGCGTCGTTCCATCCTCTCAGCTTATTCACTATGCTTTCTTGGTCTTTCGCAGATAGAAGTAGAAGACCGATCCCACCCAATTAACCCAAGGTACCTTCAGTTCCTATAAATTTATCCCCTCAGTTCGCTTGGTTCTTGTATTTTCGATTTTGTTTACTGTTTTGTACCTATGAGATGTTAAACTATTGCTCTGCCTGTGCGTTCCTGCGACTCTTTATATTATCTGTAAATAAAGTTGTGTTTTAAGGTGTAGTTCAATTAAGCTGGTCGGTTTAGAAGAATTTAGATTTTCAGTAATGCATTGGCTTTGCTTTCTATTTTTGAAATTGAATGGCATCTGCAGAGGATTTTGCTGCTTATTTTCAGGCTGGATTTTTGGGGTAAATTCACATTGAATTTCCTATTCCTAAGACTGTCGTATGATTAATGAGATTTATTCATTTGGACCAAAAAATAAAAGCATGGTTTGTTGGATGTGTAAGATTCTGGATTTCTGATTCAAGTGTTTGTGAGTTTGGTGACTTTTCCTCATCTCTTATCATCATACTTTTTTGTTGTCTCTTTCTGTTTGCATGAGAGGTAAATGGCAGCAGAGTCTCTGAATTTTTCTTGGTCTATTAAGATTAATGCGGTTAGGAAGAGTTAAAATGAAAAATAGGCTAAATAAATGTACATAACTCTCCAGAATTTTGAGTCAAATTTTAGAAAATATTGGACAGTTGAGTCAAATTTTGAGTCAATCAAAAGCAAATAATTTTTATATGAAAGTATATTTGAGGTTCAATTAATTAAAAGCCATTTTTCCCCTTTTATTTTCTTTTTCTCAAGGGTTTCGCTAGATTTCATGTTCATTATGCAACTTATAAGACCGGATGGCTTAACCTTAAGGGGTGCTTTGCTCTTCATCTGTGTGCTTCAAAAAAGTCATTTAAGCTCTCTAAAGTCTAAACTCTAAAGATCACTTTAGAATAAAATTTTAAAAGTTCTTTCTTTAAACACAAAATTATTTCTTAAAGTTACTTCTTATGAACTTTCACCTGTGAATGATGTGAGATCGGAGAGTACACACTATAAAATCATCCTTACGTGTTCTCAGCTCCCAAACAACTCAAACCAATATCCAACATGTACTTTAACCACCAAAAAAAAAAATAGAGATATGTTAGTCCTATGAAATTTTAGTGAAATGTAAATGAATGGTCGTTGGGGAGTCTTTTTAAAGAAAGAACAAAGAAGTTATTGTGAATGGCCTACCATATTGGATTCCGTGACGCTGTGGTGTGGAATTTAGAGGCTAATGTTGAAAATGAGAGGAGGGAGGGGGGGACTAGAGTGAGAGAGGCGACTTTCAAACTCATAAGGATGCAGATGATGGAGTCCACATTGAAAAGTCATGTCCTCCTTAGAGTAGTGTTCTTGTATTTATTCTAGGGAGAATTACATTGAAATCCCCTATAGTACAATTAAATACTACAAGCTTCATTGGTATAGAAAATTATGTTAAGTTGTCAATAGAACTTCTGGCATTTAATAATGCTGTAGATGACTTGTGTGTAATTTTCTATTTTATCCTGCCCCTTTTTGCAATTTTGGTCAGGAATTTATGAGAGAGATTTTTTTTAAAAAAATCCTTTAAAAGAAATGGTTGGTAGCATCTCTTAAGATTGGTGCAATTAAAGAATTGTACTTCAGTCCCTTCAGGGACATATGATAAAATTGGAAAAAATTGTACTTCACCACCATTTATTAGTCTGGTGACTTTACAAGAGTCATTATTTTAAGCAAGTCTATTTGAAGTTCAATTTCAATAGATTTTTAAAGGCTTAAACTGGACCTTATGTTATGGCTTAAATATGAGTGGTCCTTTGCATATTTTTTATTTATTTGGATAAAGGGATATTTTTGTCCTTGAAATATTCTTCAAGGAGCACCCGGCACTCTAAACTATTTGGTGTAGTATTTTTACCCCTCAAGTAATTAAAATGTAGCATTTTCTACCCCGACGTTAAATAATAAATATTGACCGTTTATATGATGTGAGAGAAAGTAGTTTGACTATCTAATAGACATTTGTGATTTTTAACATCAGGGTTGAGAGTGCGACCTTTTAATTACTTTCGAGGAAAAAATGCTACACCAAATAGTTTAAAGTACTTGATGTTTCTGGAGAATACTTTAGGAGTGAAAATGTACATTTACTATATTTATTTGTCTAATATTTAGTGCTACTGGACTAGATTCTGAGTATTATTGAATTTGTCTGGGGATAGGTTTTTTAGTGTGATTTTTTCCTTCAACATAGTTCAAACCATTGACCTTCCTTGGAAGAAATTGATTTCCTTCCACTGACTCGACCATCACTAGCTAGTCCTTTATGCACTCTTCATGTAATTTCTACTTAGAAAAGTCATATTAGGGTTCTTAAAGCCATCTAATTTTCTCTTTCAAGTGTTCTCTCAGTCAATCTAAACCATTCAAGGTAAGGGGGGAAAAATCAATCTAAACCAGCGTCCACTCTATCAGTTCCTATTAAACTCTTTTCATTCTCATTTCTTGCCTACCATCAAAGCAACACCTTTGAGTTGTTATGCAAGATAAGGCATGGCTACAGCAGTTGTGGGTGAAGCATTGCTCTCTGCTTCTATGCAGATCTTACTTGACAAAATCACCTCAAGTGAATTTCGAGATTTCATGAAAAACAGAAAATTGAGTTTCTCTCTCTTGGATGAGCTGAAGACAACTCTGTTGGTGCTCGGTGCTGTCCTCAATGATGCAGAGGAGAAGCAGATCACTGATCTTGCAATCAAGGAGTGGCTTGAAGAGTTAAAAGATGTTGTCTATGATGCAGAGGATTTATTGGATGAAATCAACACTGGCGCTTTGAGGTGCAATGTGAAACAAGATTCTCAAAATTTCACTAATAAGGTGCGGTTCTTCTTTTCTTTTTATTTTTGTGAATTCAATGGTGAGAGGAACTCTAAATTGACGACACATAAAACAGATACAACTTCATTGGTAAATGAATCTGTTGTTGTTGGTCAGGAAGATGATGAGGAGAAACTGTTGAAAATGCTTCTGTGTGATGAAGATGTAAAGGGTAATGATATAGGAGCGATCACTTTATGGGGCATGGGAGGCTTGGGTAAAACAACCCTTGCTCAACTCCTTTACAATGATAAGAAGGTGCAAGAGCATTTTGATGTGAAGGCATGGACATGTGTTTCAAATGATTTTCATGTTTTCAAGGTGACCAAGTGTCTTGCTGAGTCAATCACTTCAAAGTCTATCGTACTAAAGATCTAGACATTCTTCAAGTTGAGTTAAGAAATAACTTGAGCAATAAAAAGTTTTTGATTGTGTTGGATGAGCTATGGAATGAACAATATTGTGATTGGCATGACCTAATAACTCCTTTTCATAGTGGAAAAAAGGGAAGCAAGATAATTGTAACAACTCGACAGTGGAGAGTTGTTGAAATTACACATACATTTCCTGCATATAAGTTAAGTCCTCTCTCAGTTGATCATTGTTGGTGTTTACTTGCCAAGCACGCACTTAGAAATGAAGATCCAAACAGATATCCAGAGTTAGAAGCAATTGGTAAGCAAATTGCTAGGAAATGCTGCGGCTTACCAATTGCTGCTAAAACAATTGGTGGTCTCTTGCGTTCAAAAGTGGATGCAAGGGAATGGAATAAAATTCTGAATAGAAACCTCTGGGTCTTGTCAAATGATGATGTTCTACCTGCTTGCGTCTGAGTTATCTCCATCTTCCATCATATTTGAAGAAGTGTTTTGCTTATTGTTCAATTTTTCCAAAAGATTGTATATTGGAGAAAAAGAAATTAGTCATGTTATGGATGGCTGAAGGCTTTGTACAGCAACACTCATGTGGGGAGAAAACATTGGAGACAGAAGCAAATGATTGTTTTAATGAATTATTGTCTAGTCTTTAATACAACAACATGAAAATGATCGAAGAAACTTTGTCATGCATGGTCTCATCAATGATTTAGCTGAAGTTGTATCCGGAAAGAGTTGTCTATGGTTTGGAGACAATAAAATTTCAAAGACTCTTCATCATTTATCATATCCTAGGCAAGAGTATGATGGCGCTAAAATGTTTGAGAATTTTTATCAATTAAATTGTTTGAGGACCTTTTTACCATAATCTAAGTATAGTTGCTGGACACAATCTTATTTGACCAAAAGGGTGCCCCATGATTTGTTGCCAAAACATCGTATAAGAGTACTATCTTTGGCTGGTTATTTCAATGTCAATGAGTTGCCTGATTCAGTTGGTGATTTGCAGCATTTGTGATATCTTGACCTTTCCTACATTCCAATTAGGACGTTGCCTGACACAGTTTTCAGACTTTACAATTTGCAGACCTTGCTTTTGTCATATTGCAGGGGATTCATTGAATTGCAGAAAAGATAAAAAATCTTATTAATCTACATCACCTGGATATTAATGGCACTGCTTTGGAGGAGATGCCATTACAATTTACAAAACTGCAAAATCTTCGAAGTTTGAGTACCTTTGTGGTTAGCAAAATGTCAAATGGATTGGGAATTAAAGAGTTAAACAAGCTCCCTCATCTACAAGGTAAACTTTCCATTTTGAAGCTACAAAATGTTGTTAATTCGAAGGATGCTTTAGAGGCAAACTTGAGGAAGAGAGAGAGAATTGAGGAATTAATGTTAAAATGGGATGGTGATACTCAAGATTCACGGATTGTGAAAAATGTACTTGACATGCTGCAACCATCAACAAATTTACGAAGATTGACAATCGACTATTATGGTGGCAGAAGCTTTCCAAAGTGGGTGGGAGATTCTCAATTTATGAATATTACCTTTTCACTCCCACCATTTGGACAGTTGCCTTCTCTTAAAGAGCTCTTTATTAGAGGAATGGTATCAGTACAAATAGTTGGGCGTGAGTTCTATTGTAGCAAAGCACAATCCTCTTCATTTCAGCCATTTCCCTTCTTGGAAATTCTGGAATTTGAAAATATGCCAGTTTGGGAGGAATTGATACCATATGAAGTTGAAGATGTCAAATTCCCTTTTCCTTGTCTCAGACAGTTGCTTTTATCTTCTTGTCCTATGTTGAGGGGAGGTATGCCCATTAAACTTCCATCACTGACAAAGGTTTATATATCAAATTGTAAACAGTTCGAGGCAAAATCATCAGCTTTGCAATGGATTACATCTACTGAAGAATTAAAAATTTTAGAAGGGGGACAAGGTTTATTGAGAGCTCTTGATAATTATTCTCTGAACTCTCTAAAGCACCTAACAATAAAAATGTGTTACAGTTTGCAATCTTCGCCAAGAATGATAATGAGTTGCCATCATCTTCAAGAGTTGTTTCTCATTGGCATCCCGTCAATCATGTCCTTCCCAACTGACAGCTTGCCCGCTTCTTTACAACGACTTCAAATTCAAGACTGGGAAATTAAAATTCCTTCCTCAGAATGTTGGCGAAGCCTTACGTCACTTGAAGAATTGATGATTGATAATAGTTGTCATCCATTGGCATCCTTTCCATTAGGCTGTTTTCCGAGGCTTAAATGACTTGAGGTTTATCAATGTCATAATTTGGAGACCTTCACACATGTTGGGAGATCTGATCTTTCCTTAGAATTCTTTTGGGTCCTCCATTGCCAAAAACTTAGATCAATGTCAGAAGTACATGTTAATTCCCTAACCAACCTTCGATAATTTTCTCTTTATTGGCTTCCAAATTTCGAATCACTACCTCAATGTGGCTTGCCTTCTGAATTGTGATCATTTAGCATTCGTGGTTGCAAGGAACTATCTTCTGTACCTATTGAAAATTGGGGCTTTCATCGGCTGACTTCTCTTTCACAATTTGAGGTTGAAAGTGGTGGAATTGAAAGTATTCTCCATAATTTACTAAAGAATCAATTGCTGCCCACTTCTCGTGTGAGTATCGTCATCTCTCATGTCCACAATCTTAAATTGTTGGATGGAGAAGGGCTTCAACACCTTACTTGTTAGAGAAGCTCTCCATTTTTGGCGGTCCAAACCTTGAATCCTTGCCAGAAGATGCACTGCCATCCTCTCTTTTGTTTCTGAGTATTTGGAGCTGTCTTAAATTAGCAGAAAGATATTGTGAGAGAGGACAACATTTGGCCAACATTGCTCATATTCCTACTATCAAAATAAATGGTGAATTCTATGATCTTTAGGTTGGTGGAAGCATTGGAAGGTACGCTGTGAAAGTTTGAAATAATTAATTATTTTAATAATTATCAACAAGTTAAGTACTTAATTCTTTCTTTTTCATTCCACCTGTCTCATGAAAATTTTGGCATTTCCTTGTTGATGAGCATTGCATCGATCAAATAAGACTAAATCTTCTCTATACGACGTCGTATAGCAGAACTTTTAAATTTTCCCAAACCAGGGCTTCCAATGCTTCAGTGATACTTAAAAAAAAAAAAAAATAACTTAGAGATGAAAGTTATGTTTATATCACTTGTTATCTTGTAAAATATGTGATTTCATACCGGTCACCTTTGGGATTCATTTTATAATGATGAGTCTTGAGTTTCGTTATGTTTGTAAAGAAATAAGTTGGGTAATGCTTATTATTAAGTTTGGCTATGATGATTTTATAAGACTTATGCCAAAAAATTAACATTGAGCTGATGTTTAATTCAATGTTTATTTAATAGCATAGTTGGAACAATTGGATTTTATTGGCTATTTTAGTTGGCCAAAGGGCGATTTTATTCGTCTGTCAGAAACTGAATGTTTTTCATGTAATTTACCAATTACTATGTCCAATCCTACCAAGTACTGTAAATATAATTATTGTAACGAACTGAAATGAACACATACCATATTTTCATGGGCATGTTTGACCACGTGTCGAGTTGCAAATTGATTTATTATATTGTCTTTATTATTCTTCAGGTGGCAGGTTTTTTAGCTTTTTGGCTGATCAATGGAAGTAAAAATAGGCTTTCGGAATTGAAACTCTCAAAGCAACGAGAAGCTTTGAAGACCAATTCTCCAGGCACAGTGCATCCAAACCAATTCTCTGCTTGGCGTTCTCTGATCTTCTATTATCAAAGTGTTATCATCTCTGTTTTATTCAGCCTTTGGGAGTTGATTTATGAGAAGCTCCTATGGGTATTAACTTTTTCTTTTTTAAGGATTTTCTTTCTTAGAGGTTAATTTCAAAGACTTTTTTTTGTTTGGGTTTGTAAAAGGCTTGTTACTTGAGTTTTTCTTTTCCTTTGTTAATTTTTATGAGCGCGCGCGTTGTGAATAATACTACTTATGAAAATTGTGGTATGGTTTCATGCTTGGGGAGAGGATGCGCAGGATTCAAATTTGAATCTGAACCACCGTCATGGTCTCATCCCCCCCCTCCTCTCACTCAGATTCTTATTTTTAAACAAATTGATTGATTAAAATGTACAGAAATTGTACATTGTCATAATATGTGAAGAGTATGTCTCATTTGTCAAGCTAGTATGTTAACCCTTGCCTTGCACAAGTATATTCTGAAAATGAAAGACCCGCTCGAGCAAATTGGCCAAACAATATCTAAATATGTGGGATCTATTATTGACAGGATCAATTATAATTATCAATAAAATAAACATTTCTTAAAATTAATATAAACAAACAAATCATATATCAAAGTTATATCTATTGATTTCTACTACTATTCATAAGTTAATGATGCACCCCTTCATGCCCAATCTCATTCATATATTATTCATTTGATCTAATGGCATTAAATTCCTAATTACGACATTGAAATATATATACTAGTCATTTAATTATTATTATAAATAAACATTATGAACTTATTTTTAAATGCATTTAAGTGATGGTAGCAAATAATCTATTTATTTTAATGTCATAATTGACAATCTCACATCTTTAAATCAAAAAATAATTAAATGGATGGATGAGATAGAAAATAAAAGGATGTATTGAGAGAGGATATGGAGAAGAGAGGATTCAAATCCTGTGTGATTGTCCACACATGGAGTCCATTTGAAAATAAATGACAAGTATTATGCATCACATTTGACAATTTTTGTAATAGTATCATGGATTGTTCATCATCCATTTGAATTGTCTAAATTGGTTTCTTGACAATTCAAATTTTATATATATATTTTAAATATTTTAAGTAACTGTTAATTTTAATATATATTAAATCTAAAATAAAGATGATTTTTTAATTATCAACATATGAAATCTAGCAAAGTCACGAAAAAAAAAGTACCTTAAAATTTAAAATCCTCCCTCATTGATATTTTCCATTCAACAATACCACACTAAAAAGATACTTGTGGAAAAATGAATGGTTGTTGGTTAGTATCTTTCATGTAAGAACAAATAAATTATTATAAATCGCCTACCAATTTTGAAAATACATGTCCTTCCTAGGATCATGCATGTTTAATCAACTAAACCGTTTAGGAAATTATTTCAGAATTTTGAAATCCTCCATAACAGTTTAGACTTTTCCAATAAAGAACAGAGATATTGCTGTGGAATCGCCTACCTTATCGTCCTTGAAATTGCCTTCTCCTTCAATCTAAGACAGATTATTCCGACACGCGAAGTAGTCAAAGTATTGTCTCAATCAATCCAAACCAGCTTCACTCTAAACTCTCTTCACTCTCAATCATCAAAGCGATACCTTTAAGTTCTGAAACAAAACAAGGCATGGAGTTCGCTGCCAAGGTGGGAGAAGCTTTGCTATCTGCTTCGGTGCAGACCTTACTAGATCGGATCAACTCAAGCGAGTTTCGAGATTTCATGAAGAATAGAAAGCTGAATGTCTCTCTCTTGGATGAGATAAAGACAACTCTGCTGATGCTTGATGCTGTTCTTAACGATGCAGAGCAGAAGCATATCACCAATCATGCAGTCAAGAAGTGGCTTGAAGAGTTGAAAGATGCTGTCTATGATGCTGAGGATTTACTGGATGAGATCAACACTGAGTCTCTCATATGCAAGGTTGAGCAAGATTCTCAAAACGTCGCTAACAAGGTGCGATCCTTCTTCTCTTCTTCTTTTGGTGAATTTAACAGGAGGATGAACTCCAAGCTGGTAGCAACATCCCAAAGGCTTAAACACTTTGCAAAACAGAAGGATATCCTTGGTTTGCAAAGTGTTAGCTTGAGAGTGCATAAAACACCTTCAACTTCATTGGTAAATGAATCCGATGTGGTTGGTAGAGAGGATGATAAGGACAAACTAATGACAATGCTTTTGTTTGACGAAGATGTAAAGGGTAATGACATAGGAGTGATCACTATCTGGGGTATGGGAGGGTTGGGGAAAACCACCCTTGCTCAACTCATTTACAATGATGAGAAGGTGCAGGAGCATTTCGATTTGAAGGCTTGGGCATGTGTTTCAGATGATTTTAATGTTTTGGAGGTGACAAAGAATCTTCTTGAGTCCGTCACTTCAAGAGTCTATGACAGTAAAAATCTAGAATTCCTTCGTGTTGAATTAAGAAATAGCTTGAGCAATAAAAAGTTTTTGATTGTGTTGGATGACCTATGGAATGAGAAATATAGCCATTGGGATGACCTTGTAACCCCATTTCATAGTGGAAGAAGGGGAAGCAGAATCGTCGTAACAACTCGCCAAAAAAGAGTTGCTGAAATCACACATACCTTTCCTGTACATGAATTGAGTCCCTTCTCAGATGATAATTGTTGGTGTTTAATATCCAATCATGCACTTAGAAATGAAGATCTTAATAAGCATCTAGAGCTAGAAGTAGTTGGCAAGAAAATTGCAAGAAAATGTGATGGCCTACCTATTGCTGCCAAAACAATTGCAGGTCTTTTGCGTTCAAAAGTGGATGCAAAGGAATGGAATAAAATTTTGAATAGCAACCAATGGGACATACCAAATGATGACGTTCTACCTGCTCTACATTTGAGTTATGTTTATCTTCCATCACATTTGAAGAAATGTTTTGCTTATTGCTCAATTTTTCCGAAAGATCTTTTGTTGAAGACAAAGAAATTGGTCTTGCTATGGATGGCTGAAGGCTTTATATAACAAAACTCCCACGGGGAGAAAGCGCTAGAGACAGAAGCAAATGACAATTTTAATGAATTGTTGTCGAGGTCACTCATTCAACAAGTGAAAGGAAATCCAAGAAAGTTCATTATGCATGATCTCATCAACGATTTAGCCAAATTTGTGTCTGGCAAGAGTTGTCTTCAATTTGAGGGTAACGAAATCTCAAAAACAACTCGCCATTTATCATATCCCCAAAAATCATATAATGGCTCAAAAAATTTTGAGAGCTTCTTCTATCTAAATTGTTTGAGGACTCTTCTCTCACAATCTGAATTTAGTGGGAGTCCATCATGTTATTTGGCCAAAAAGGTGCCACAGGATTTGTTGGCAAAATTAAGATGTCTAAGAGTACTATCTTTCTCAAGGTATAAAAATATCATTGAGGTACCGAATATAATTGGTACTTTGCAACATTTGCGTTATCTCAACCTTTCTTACACTTCAATTGGTAGGTTGCCTAATGCAGTCTTTACACTTTACAATTTGCAGACTTTACTTTTATCAAATTGCATGTGTTTTAATGAAATTCCAGGAAAGATAGAAAAGCTTATTAATTTACGTCACCTAGACATCAGTGGCACTGCTTTGAAAGGGATGCCTGCACAAATTAGCAAGCTACAAAATCTTCATAATTTGAGTAATTTTATGGTAGGCAAACAACCAAATGGATTAGGGATTAAAGAGTTAAACATGCTCCCTCATTTGCAAGGTAAGCTTTCCCTCTCGAGACTAGAAAATGTTGTTGACTCAATGGATGCTTTGGCAGCAAACAAGGACAAAATTGAGGAGCTAGAGTTGGAATGGAATTGTGATGCTCAAGATTCAGAAACTGTGAAAAATGTACTCAGCATGCTACAACCTTCAACAAATATACAAAGATTGACCATCAACAATTGTGGTGGCACTAACTTTTCGGATTGGGTGGCAGATTCTTCATTCATGAATATTACATTTTTATTAGTGAGTGATTGCAAGTATTGCTTGTCACTCCCATCGTTTGGACAATTACCTTTGCTCAAAGAGCTCTTGATTATAAGGATGGCATTAATACAAATAGTCGGACAAGAATTCTATTGCAGTGGAGGAGAGGCCTCTTCATTTCACCCATTTCCATCCCTAGAAATTCTAGAATTTAGAGATATGCCTATTTGGGAGGAATGGACATTGTTTGATGGTGAAGGTGCCAAATTTCCTTTTCGTTATCTTAGACATTTGGGTTTATATGATTGTCCAATGTTGAAAGGAGACATGCCCGACAACCTTCCATCATTGACAAAGGTTTTTATCTCAAACTGCAAACGGTTGGAGGCAAAATCAACAGATTTGCAATGGATTGCATCTATTGAAAAATTATACATTAAGCAAGGGGAACATGGGTTGAGAGATCTTGATAATTGTTCTTTGGATTCTTTAAAATATCTAAGAATTGAGAAGTGTGATAGCTTGCGGTCTTTGCCAAAAATGATAATGGGTAGCTATTTTCTTGTAAAGTTGTCTCTCATAGATATCCCATTAACCTTGTCCTTCCCAATTGATGGTTTGCCCACTTCTTTGCAGCAACTTAAAATTGAAAATTGTGAGAAATTAGAGTTCCTATCTCAGGAATCTCGGCAAACCTTCACCTCACTTAAAGACTTGAATATTCATAACAGTTGCCATTCCTTGACATCCTTTTCATTAGGTTGTTTTCCCAAGCTTAAAAGGCTTGGCATTAGCAATTGTCATAATTTAGAGACCTTTATATATGTTGGGGGGTCTGCTCTTCCCTTAGAATCCTTTCAAGTCAAAGATTGCAAAAAACTTAGGTCAATGTCAGAAGTACACATTGATTCCCTTACCAACCTTCAATCTTTTTATTTAATAAGGCTTCCAAATTTGGAATCATTGCCTCATTATGGTTTGCCTTCTAATTTACGATTTTTGGAAGTTAGTGGCTGTGAGGGACTCTCTAGTATACCAATTGAAGATTGGGGTTTTCAACAGTTGACTTCTCTCTCAACATTGCATATTGAAGGTGATGGAAGTGAAACTATGCTCCATAATTTACTAAACAATCAACTACTACCCAAGTCTCTTGTGCATATCTACATATATGATTTCTCTAATCTTAAACGGTTAGATAGAAAAGGGCTTCGACACCTCATATCTCTTGAAGAGCTCACCGTCTGGAACTGTTCAAACCTTGAATCCTTGCCAGAAGATGTGCTACCACCCTCTCTTCTTTTGCTAGATATCATTGGGTGTCCTAAATTAGAAGAAAGATATAATTTTGAAGGAGGAAAACACTTGTCCAAGATCTCTCGTATTCCAACCATAAGAATTAATGGTGAATTCTATGATCCTTGCGATAGTGTATTGCTTCAAATGGTGAGCTTTCATATTCCAACCAATGTCACTAATATGCATGGTAATTATAATATAAGATTTACAATGTTATAGCTAGCATGTTTCACCTTTCCATCTTTCATTTTTTAAAAAATCAAATCATGGTTATGCCAACTTGTTATTGTAGCTTTTCCTTTGAATAAGCAATTGGTTATACTGTTTGTGCACATCTGAAGAATAAGAGAGAATTATCAATGATGTCATTTTTAGTTTGAAATGGTCAATCAATTATCAAGTGACTATTGACATGAGTACTAATTATAAAAGTTGAAATGATTTAGAACCATATAGCATATTTAATATCTATGCTTGATTAGATATTTATGAATGAAGTGACTGTATGTGTATTTGTTAAGTAATATTAATTTCTGATCATTTTATCATGTTTTGATAAATCAGGTTAGCGAAGATGAGGAAGCAGTCAAAAAGAGACATACATGATATGCATGCAGGGAAGGTAGGCAATAAGCTAACCCATGTGGTTGAGACTAAGAAACAGTTCTAGTTTTTTTTCGCTCTTTTTTAATGTTCAATTAATTTTTCTTACAAAAACATCTAAAAGCATGATCTGATTCTTTGCTTTTATATTATCAAGTTAGAAAATATGAAAGGAGTTCAGAAGAATTGCTATTTTCAGCACCAGATGATTCAAGAGCTTGTAAGAAATAAATTAACTAATCCTCTCTTCATATTTTTGAAATTCTGAATCGATTTTATATTTATACACACACGCACGCATAAAAACACATGCAACACATTTTATGATGGGTTCTACTTTTCAAATTTATTTTGTTAATTTTTTTTTTCTTTTCCTAATATTTTTTTTAATGAGTTAAATATTTGTGGACTTTCACTTAAATACCTTAGTCCTCTAGGGTTTTGTGACATATATAGAACCTTCCAAGATTGATATTTCAAGGTAAAGGATGATCTTGATCTAGTTGAGGCTTAATTATTTCAGAATAATACACTAATCCAATGTTTTTAATTTAATATAATCATTATATGAAATTTCAAGTGACTAGAAATATCTTATTTTTATATTCGCACATTACTTATAAAGCACAAATCTAAAGTTTGAAAAAATATTTTTCCTTTTCTTAGATGTTGCCCCCTTTTTTTGGTGACTTATTCTAAAATTTCATTAAGCAGAATATTATTGACTTTGAATAAGCAGAGCAATGGCCACGAGTCTATTGAAAACGTCACATACCAGATAATACTTACCACATTTTATTAATTATTTTGATTGAAAGTTCATAGTGTTATCAAATCTAATTTGATATTCTATTTGGATAATTCATGTCAAAATATACAGGTGAGGACATCAATAGAATTGCTGTGTTTTAAAGAATAGAGTCATATGAGAAACAAGGAAGGCAGGCAAAAAAACTAGTTCGAGTCACTAGTTTATCTCCTCTATATAATATTAATAAGAACAATTGATCAATAAGCATGTACATAAAGATGATACTTTTAGAAATATATATATATATATATATATAATTTCCACTTTAGCCAGACAACATGATAGTGTTTAAAAAGTGTTCCTTTGATGCTCATTTTATGTGTTGGGTAGAAAATTTGATTTATGATGTTTTCCTTATTCAGCTTTCTCAATTGTCATGTGGTTGAATTGAATCATCAATTTCTATGTTACTTCTGCAACAATAAGGACAACAAAGGTATGATATCTAGATTTAGTATTACATACATAGTTCAGTTTATTGAGATTAGTGACTTAATTAACACACTTCTAATTTACCTGGAGATCTCTCTCGATTGAATAATTCCCCACCTGTAATCCTTAGATGCTTATTTTGGTATGTTAAAAGAGTGTCTTAAAATCAATAAGACAGTGTCAGAAAATGGATGTGTATTGTTGTGTTGATGAGCTAAAATTGAGAGTTGATAAGAAAGTAATGAAACCTCTATTAATTCATATATATATATATATATATATATCTTGAAATTTGTAACTAAGAATGTTTTCTTAACAATTCTCCTTTAAATATATTGTTTGCAGACTTTTACTGATATTCCTGGGTCATTGAAGATTTTGTGATATAAAGATCTTCCAGGTATTTCAAGGTAAATGAGAAAATTAATTTGGCCTCCATGAGTCTCATTGTTTAATTTACTAATTCCAATGTGTTAAGAAGTCAACCTTTGACTTTTAGCCAATATTTGGTTATTAGTTTTGATGAAAACAAATAATATTAAAATTATTTCAAATGAAAATTGATATTTCAAGAAATTGAATCCTGATTGATTGTCTTTATTGCAAAATCAGGGAACAACGAAGAATTGACAATGATCATAGAGGAAATTAATCATCAAGAAAAGAAGGAAAGTTAACCATGACGAAATACGAAGAGAAAACTGATGTTGATGAATGATTTGCAAAAAGATGAAGGATTTAATTTGGAGATGCAAGCAGATTATTATTCATCCTAGCTAATTGTATAACATACTTCCTAAATATCATTGTTGAAATTTAAGTATTTGAGTGCTTAGGATGTTTTTGCTACTAGCTTTTCAAGAGCAATTTCTAGTGAACTACTTTTTTACATTTATTTTATTAGTTTTAGGTGGGTTGTGTAAAATCATGTATGCTAATTAATTCTTGGTGAGTTTTGTAAAAAACTTTGTCAGTATTGTAATTGAGCTCGTTGTATAACTTATAGGGGTTGTAATTGGATTTTTATAGTGGGAAAATCTCTTGAGCGCTTCTCAAGAGAACTGGAGGTAGGTTAGGAGATTGAATCAGGATAATTTTTGTGGTGCATAATTCTCTCTCTTCCATCTTCTCTCATTTATTAGCTAACTATATTTATTTACACACTCATCTCACACACAGACACTGTCACAGTGTTTTAAACTTAATATAATCAAATCACTATTAGAAACTTCAAGTCAACATAACCACTAACATATGCCCTTTTTTCCCTTTAATTGTTGAACTAAATTATTAAGATATATTTTCTTTCAAAAATTAAAATTAACCCTCTCAATCAAACCATTCTTCGACTACATTGTTTGCAAATTTTTGAGATTTATGACTTTCTAAATATCGAATGGTTATTATCGTGACATATAAGATACCTATTGAAGGAATTGCGTACAATTTAATACTTTTTAAGTATCACATGTCACATAATATTTTATAATTGTTCAATTTAATCGAATAGTTATTATTATGATAAGTAAAAAATCCATCAACTCAATGGATTTATCACTACTACAGAATATATCTTTAGGAGCAGGTATTTAGGAGCGCTTCTTTAAAAAGCGCTCTAAAATGTAAATGCGGAATTTACCGGAGCGCTTTTTTAGAAAAGCGTTCCTGTATGTCAGGGCTTTTCAATAAGATAATGCTCCTAATTAATATAAATAAAATATTATAAAAAATTTAAAAAGACCTTCGGGAGCGCTCGTAGTTAAGCGCTCCGGAAGACTATCTTCCGGAGCACTCTTCAAAGAGCGCTCCGGAAGATCAACTCTTTCGGAGCGCTCTTGGAATGAGCGCTCCGAAAGAGCTCATCTTTCGGAGCGCTCTTTTAATAAGCGCTCCGAAAGAGTTGTTCTTCCGGAGCGCTCGTCAAAGAGCGCTCCGAAAGAGAGATCTTCCGGAGCGCTCTTTGAAGAGCGCTCCGGAAGACCACCTCTTCCGGAGCACTCATTCATGAGCGCTCCGGAAGAGGTGGTCTTTTATATCTCTACCTCCCGTCAGTTTTCTTTTCCCTATTTATGAGTTTCTTTCAAACCTCTCTCTCATTTGCTGAGGTTGTGCGTTCCCAACGAGTTCTAGATCATCGCTGTATCAGTCTATCTTCCGTCGCTGTTCACTGTTCCAGATCGTCGTCCGCCGCTGTTCGCTGTTCCAGATCGTCGTTCGCCACTGTTCGCTGTTCCAAATCATCGTCTGCTGCTGTTCGTTGTTCCAGATTAGTGTTCATCGCTGTTTGTTCATTTCTGTGTCATGTCGCGCCATCTGTCTCTGTTTTTGCGCTGTCGTCGCCGTCACCGCCATCTCCTGCATCACTATTGTAGATCTACATTGCTGTTCCAGATTTGTGCGGCTACTGTACACCGGAGGAAGCGACACCGTGAAGACCTCCGTTGTAGCCGTGTGTCATTGCTGTACAGCCGAGGAAGCAACGCTGTAAAGACCTCCGCTACTGCCGTGAAGACTTCCGTTTTCTGCCGTGAAGACTACACTGTGAAGGTATTTTTTTAATAATTAATTTATAATGTAATATATTGATATATTTATATATATTTGAGAATAAATTTCACATATATTTTTTTAATAATCAATATTATAGATAATATATGAATTGGAGTTATTTATATTAGAATTATGGAGTATTTGTAGTTGATAATTAGATTAAAGTTGAGGAAACTACTTGAACATTTTTATTTTATTTATGAAATATACTTTTAAGGGAGATTATTGTTATTAATTAAATTACAATTGATTGACAGAATTTAGATGCATTATGCTACTAAATTTTTATTTGGATGAATTAATTTTTTGAGTTTAAATGTATTGTGTTGTGAAATTTGATTGTTTGATCATTTGGGAGGTTCTTCTTTTAAGGAAGATGTTGTTGAATCTTTTTTATAGAAATCTAAGTCTTTTGTTTATTGAATTTTGATAATCATATTAGTGATATGGATCATAAGTGGATGTCGGCTAATCAACTATCTAGAGAATATTGGGATGGTGTGGATGAATTCATTGAATTTGCATTTTGTTGTGATCAAGACCCCCTTGGAGTCATATGTCCTTGTTTGAAATGTTGCTATAGAAAAAGAGTAAAGCCAATAAAATTGAAAGATCATTTAATCTGTAATGGGATTGATCCAACTTATACTTGTTGAACCATGCATGGGGAGACAAGGAATGATGCAAATGATTGGAGGGATAGTGCGAGCTACTCAACATTTGATCGTGATAGTGGGACATATGATGTTGACCGTCTTGATGAAATGATTCATATATATAACTTCATCGCTGAAGTATTTTAAATTAAGTTAGAATTTATTTTCACCATATTTTGATAATGACATCTTTTATTGTTTTATAGGTACCTACACAATTACAAGGTTGGGAGTGTGGATACTATGTTATGAAGTTTATGAGAGAAGTAATCACACAACAAGAGTTGATCATTCCTGAAAATGTAAGTCAAAAACTTTAAAATTAAGTTGATATAATGTTAATTCCTTATATATTGCTTTCATATCTTGTGTAGTATTTTGTTGAAGTAAGATGTTCGTATTTTACTATGGAGCAAATAGAAGATTTAGTTGAAGAGTTGTCAGAATATATTATTGGCTGTTTGTGATAGGAAGTTAGATTTCAATGTTAGAAAAATAACAATAGTTTCATTTGTTAGGCTTGTTAGAAATTAAACTAGGTTAGTTAGGAAATTAAAATTTTTGTATCAGTTTCAAATTCTTTTCTTGTATATAAATTTTTATGTTAATATTATTTTTAAATTAGTTTTTGATATTATGATTTGTCATTATTAAAGAGACGTAAAAGGAGAAATTTCAAAAAATCTGATTTAAAAAAAATTAAAGTAATATACGGGAGCGCTCATTTGAAAAGCGCTCCTGTAAAGTAACATACAGGAGCGCTCTTCCAGAGAGCGCTCCTATATGGTTCATACGGGAGCGCTCTTTATAAAAGCGCTCCGGTATGGTTGCATACGGGAGCGCTCTTGTAGAGAGCGCTCCCGTATGTAGCTCCCTTACAGGAGCGCTTTTTGAAAAGCGCTCCCGTATAGCGTATATACAGGAGCGCTTTTTTTAAGCGCTCCTATACATTTTGGAGCGCTCGATACAAGAGCGCTTCAAAAGCGCTCCCTAAAGTAAAAAAAAAGCGCTCCTGTAAACTTATTTTGTAGTAGTGTATGTTACTCAATCTAAACCTCTTATTCATAGTCTAAGCAATATAATAAAAGACAAATTAATCCCGTTTTTAATCTCTCTTGCTAGTATTTTCAATTCTCTTGCCGTGAGGGCATGGGTAAAAAGGAGAAGAGAGGAAAGAAAACGATGAAAAGAAAGAAGAGTGACACAAAAAAGAAAAGAAAAATTAAAGTGAAAAGTTTAGTAGTTTAGAGCATATTATATTTTGAGTCTGTAATAAAATTTTATTTTTTTTTTCAAGTGCCGCTTCATGTTTTCAAGTGTGTCTTGAGTCTTTCTCTCTCACAGATCAGACTTAACATCTTAATTATAATTAATATTTTTAGAGGGCTTTTAAATGTCATTTTTGAAGATTTTTTTTTTGCAAACGACACTTGCATTGGTCATGGATTGATTGATGAGGTCTCTGCTTTTAGTTGAGCATACCATTAAAACTAATGATCCCTCTATGATTTTGAATAGCGCGACTAACACAACCTATATTCTTCTTCTTCTTCTTCTTCTTCTTACTCTCTTGAATGAAAATATATTTGGATGTGAAAAAGGTCTAAAATACCCTTGATATGAATGCATTTTGTTGTTCTATTACTTACAACTAAGTATTTATATATTGACAACATGATGTTCAAATTTTGACAGGCAACTTTCTTTCAAGTCATCATTTACTCAAAATCCATATGTTGACAAGTGAAAATCCGCATACAGATGTTATTTGTAGAACCCTAACTTGTTACTTTTTTATTAGGGTAACTTGAAATTTTATTTTAAAAATACAATTTATAATAATCAAAGATTGAATTGTTAAAAATCTCCATGCGTTGTTGTTAATTGCATAATTTTTGCTTGTTATATAATTTTTTAGGGAAACTTAGGATTCTATTTTAAAAATGTAAACTAATCCAACCAAAGACTGACTTAATTTTAAATTAAAATATTCTGTTGTCAATTGTATTATTTTTACTTGTTAATT